GTTAATGAATATGTGTGGACTGAAGGGCTGTCCCCTTGGCTCCAAGAGGGAGGAGCTCGGCTGCAGCCAGGCTGTGTGGCCGGCCCCTCCCTCTCTCTGAGCCCCTTTCTCATGCCCTCTCCTTTCCACCCTTCCTCGGCAGCAGCTGCAGCGGGATGTATGCTTGGAACACTGGAATGAAGTCACACTAGGGAGTTGGACACCTAGGCGGTTACACGAGCAGCTCGGGCTGGGTGTTACTCCTTCCTGCCAGCCCTGCTTGCAGAAGGATATATGTTTAGGAAACTTAGCCAGAAAGAAATCCAGTGAAAATGAGCTATGAAACTTGGACATCCTGGAGAAATAATATTTACAGAGGAAACTCTTGAGACGAACTCTCACCAGTGTAACAACCCTGGTGCTGGGGCTCAAGGCCGAGAACTGACTCATGGGCCAACCAGTGCTGGCTCATTCTCCGCGAGGCCTTCGCACAGCCAAAAGGGGACTCCGCAGAGGGCAGAGGCAGCTCGCTTACCCCCGCAGCAAGAGGCATGGGAACTTTTCAACGCACAGCACAGGAATGAACTAGGAAATAAGAAGCTTTGTAAATTCTTCCTGGGTGATAATGATGTGCCAAAGCAGGTTCAGCAGTTATAATAAACATTTCACTCTGGTGGGGGACCATGGGAGAGGCTGTGCACTGGGGGGGCAGGGGCATATGGGAAATCTCTGCACCTTCCTCTCACTTTTGCTGTGAATCTAAAACTGCTCTAAAAGATGAAGTCTATTTTAAGGAAACCTCTTCTTTGGTTACCTAAAAGAATTTGCCCTTTGGGATTTCTGTTGTACCTATAATGTGTTTAGATAAATACCTACATGTAGGGGTGGTGGATGGAAAAAATTCCCAGGGACTAACCACTCCCTACGCTATAGTTACAAAAGGATCCTGGATGACCCTCCGCCACCTTGCGCATGCCTGATCTTGAACGCAAGGGTGTCCAGCAGGGAAGAGCGTGTAGGCTTGATTTGGACCAATCGTTCTCGTAACTGAAGCTCAGTGTGTTTGTTTTTGTTTTTTTTTTTATCCTCACCCGAGGACATTTTTCCATTTTTTGTTCAGATAGAGCGGGAGGGAGAGAGAGGAAGAGAGAGAGAGAAACATCGAAGTGAAAGGGACACATCGAGTGGCTGCCACCGCACGACCAACCAGGGCCGGGGACAAACTGCAACTGAGGTACGTGCCCTTAGCGGGAACCGAACCCGGGTCTCTCTGTACCGCAGGCCGACGCTCCAACCGCTGAGCCAAACCGGCCAGGGCGAAGCTCAGTGTGTTTTATGAAAGAAAGGCCAGCGCAGGAATCTTGGAACGCTTAAACCTGGGTTATGGTTTAACCCCTGATTAGAAGCATAACGTTGGGTAAATCACACCGTCACCAAGCTTCAGTCTTCTCACCTGTAGGACACAGCCAGTGCCACCTTCCTCCAGGGAATGTTGGGAGGAGTGATGACGTCACCTAAGTGATAGTTAGTACCCGGCACTTTCCTTATGTTGGGTCATTTAATCCTCACAACTCCGTGAAGCATGTTCTATCATCGTAGATAAGGAAATAGAGGTAAATGACTTGCCCAATGATCACACAGCCAACACACAGTCAAACCAGAATTTAAATTCATGCAGTTTGCTTATGGAACCTACACTCTAATTTTACACTATTTATACCAATATAGAAACTAACATGCTCGCTGCCTGGCACATTGTAGATGCAATAAATGGTTATCCCCGCTCTTTGGTCTCTCTTAAACACACAGGATTATGCTGAGAAAGTGCTAGAAAAAATGTATGTGAAAATTCTCTGAAAACCATAAATAAAAACAGAAAATTTTTTTAAATGCTTTATTGAGATAAATTCATACATCATATAATTAACCCATTTAAAGGGAACAATTCATGGCTTTTCCTATCTTCAGAGTTATACAACCATCTCCACAATCAATTTTAGAATATTTTCATCACTCCAGAAAGAAGCCCTCTATCTCCTAATCAAAATTCTCCCTTCTCTCTCCCCTACTCCCCTCCTCAGCCTCTGGCTACCACTAATCTATGTCCTGTCTCAATGGGTTTGCCTATTCTGGATATTTCATTGAAATAGAATCATAAAATATGTGGTCCTTTGTGACTGGCTTCTTCCCCTTAGCATGTTTGCAAGGTTCATCCATGTTGGGGCATGCATCAGCACTTTGTTCCTTTTTATTGCTGAATAGTATTCTATTGTATACAGTATCATTATCAACTGTGTTTACTTGCTTCCTAGACTGTTAGAGCTAGAAAAAACTTTATAGACTGAATCCAGATGCCTCTCATTTTACTGATAAGGAGACTGTGGCCGAGAGGTTAAATAGCTTGGCCAAGGTCACGTGAAGGGTTGGTGGCAGAGCCCAGCCTTGTCTGACAACTCTCAACGTGGTCCCATCTTACATCACTCTACAAGATGATGTTGGAAACACAATTCAAAGCTCATAACTTACTGATGATGGACCATCAGAGTCATTTCTGCCAATGTTAGCAAAACATGCATTCAGTAAATACATATTGGCTACCCCCAGAGGGCAAGGCACTGTATGAGGTGCTGGAGACTTATCAGGAACAGGACAGACAAGATGCCTGCATTTTCTCACAAGTGCACATTCTCCTGGAGAGGCAGAAATAAATGGGTAGCCCCCTAAGTGATAAAAATCAACAACTGTACTTTGTGTAAAGTGCCATGAAAGGAACAAACAAGGAACCGATAAAGATGATGATGTGGGGACCAAGTGGCAGGGATAGTGAGGTGGGGGTGGGAAGGGTGAAGGGACCTACTGTGGAAAGTGTCATAGGGTATTTGGGTGGGAAAGGCCTCTCTGAGGAGAGGGTGTTAGGCTGAGGCCTAGAGGAGAAAGAGCAACTTTGTGAGTATCAGTGCAAAGAAGGTGCTAGACATAGAGTAGAACATGTGCAAAGATCCTGAGGTGGCAAAGAGCTTGGCGTGTTGAAGGAGTTGAATAGGTGAAGTGGTGACTGAGAGCAAGTGGTGTGATCTGAGGCTAGATCGGGGAGGGCTCAGATCACAATGGAGACCCTTTGGCCCACTCTCAGAGCTAATTGAAGTTAGGAGGACCTGTGGGAAAGGAGATTGGTGGCTTCCATTGTCCTTCCTATGAATGAGATAAACTCTATTTATCAGAGGAAGCCAGCAGAAGCCCTGGGTCTCTGTAGCAAAGACTTTCAAGGACAAGAAAATCGCATCTTCAATAGGGTAATGTGTCCCCTTGGAATGAATCAGAAGATAAGGGGAACAAAGGGAAGTAAGAAAATACAGGCATATTAATAGGGAAGTGGTTAAATGATTGTGGTATAGCTACATAATGAAACACAAACCAACTGGTAAAAAGAGAGGTTAAATCCTTCAGTAATGAAATGGAAAGCTCTCCAATTAGTTGTTAAGCCAAAAAACAAACAAACCCAACATGCAGAACTGTGTGTATAGTACCATTTGTGTAAAAAAAAGGCAGGAGGGAAACCAGGTATTTGCTCGTATATGCATAAAATTTGTCTAGAAGGATACCTCTAAAATATATCTAGAAGGGGTTTCCTTGTTTGTCTTTGTCTCCCCAGGAGAAGGTACTCTGGGACAAAGGACAGGGGTCTCATCTGTCCTGTTTACTGCCGTGTCTCCACTGGTTGCAGATGGGAGGCTAGGAGGGGTGAAGGAGACTTTTAACTATCTCTTCTTTTATTGTTTCTAAGTTTGAAACATGAGAATATAATTCTTATTCAAAGAAATTAAATAAGGAAAGGAAAAGCAATGAAGGGTCTGGATGTACCAACCAAAGCCCCGTGTTCTTTCCGGCTGCCCCTGTACCTGGGCCTCTGACAAAGCCGACCCTCAGAGAGGTGAGCTCCCTTCCAGTGGGGCCACTGAGTGCTCACAGGTCCCTGGTCTCGATGTCACTCCTAGTCATAATGATGTTTGGACAGTCTAGTGACTGAAGAAATTGACCAGAAAAGTCCAAAAATTAATTTTGATTCCCAAACGTGAAACATCGAAGCACCTCCCTCCAGAGCCATGCTGGGGAGAGTAAACAAATGAGTAAGTACCAGATGGGTACTGGACTCCATTAGGCATCCAGCAGTGGGCTGTATCAGTCAGCAACAATGGGCAGAGAGCAACTCAGGGTAACTCGCATCCTCGAGGTTCCTCAGCTCAGCACCAGTGACTTTTTGGGTTGAATAATTCCTTCGTGTGAAGGGCTGTCCTGTGCACTGTAGGATGCTTAGCAGCATCCCTGACCTCTACCTGCTCCATCCTACTCTGGGGGGAGGGGGGGCAACCAAAAAGGTCTCTAGACATGGCCAAATGTCCCTGAATAACAAAACTGCCCCCTGGTGAGAATCACTGGTTCGTACCCTTGCAGTTCCAGGTAAGTGTGCCCTACTTCCAACGAGAAGCTGGGGATTCCCTCTGCCTCTACCCAGCTGGGTTGCCACAGAGGATGGGGCGTTGACTCAACTTGTCCATGAGAAGCTCTCATTCCTAGAAGTCCCAGGCTGTAAAAAGACACCCCCCAAGGCAGGTTGATAACTGAGGCAGAACACGCTCAGTGGCCAGCACCCCAGGACCGCGGGGAACAGGAGCCCAGGAAGTGAATGCGGCCCCTTCTGTAGTTTTGTCCTCCAGGTGACAAAGAAAGAGACAGGAGTGAGGTTTCGTGAAAGTGCACCTGGGGTCATTTTGTCACAAATGGGACGGGTGGGCACGCCTGCTTCATCTCTCCTCTCAAGAACGTAATTCCCGGCGGACAGCTTTCTTTGGAGGGCAAAGAAAAAGGAACTGTATGTCCATGTTTTGATTAACCTGAGGCTCATCGTGGAGGGCTCTGCAGTGAATGAGCAGAATTTTCCGTGGCTAACTGTCCTGGCCGCCGGGCCCTGTTGGCAAAGGCCTAGTGTTTATTTACTTTTGCTCGTGTCATTTTCATTTCAGTTCAGCTGCAGCTCAGTGCGGAAAGCGTGGGGGAGGTGTATATAAAGAGCACCCAGAGCGGCCGGTACTTGGCCATGGACTCCGAAGGGCTTTTGCACGGCTCAGTAAGTATGAGGCTGACAAGCTTCCAGACTCGGCCAAGGTTTGAGGTTTCCAGAAATCTTGTCACGTTGAGTGATACACACTATAAAGCAACAATTAGTCTCTGTTTGTTATTTTTTCCAGTAGGATTCCCGCCCTCTACCCTGCCTTATTTTAGGCACACACATAAAAGCGTTTCTTGTGGTATTCTCTCAAAATACTCCAGCGCAGTATCACATAGAGGAGACATTGATTGAAATTTTGGTAACTCATCCATCTCTCATTTCAGAATACCTAGTTCCACTTCACTCATTCATTCCAAAAATGTTTCTTGAGTACCCACCCCATGTTATAGGTGTGTTCCCTATGCTTTTTATAAAAACTGCAGAGCCCAGATTCTAGTAGTTACATGTCACACACAAAACTTTGAAAGGTCTCTTAAATACAAAGTTTAATAACTCAATTCTACAAACATTTATCAAATGCCTCCTGTGTCTAAGTACAGCTAGGTACTGACAGGGATGTAAAGATGAATGAGCCTCATCCCTGCCCCTGAAAAGCACAAAGAATTGATTTAGTAGCTAACATCTTCTCCATCGCCTTCTCCTTCCCTCTTCTAGTTAATGCTTTATAAGGGTTGACCCCATTTATGGCGGTCTTTGTGAGAAAAGAACAGAAATAGAGGCAATCTGATTTTTCCCTTACTGGTACCTCTGATAAATGATTTGACTAGAAAGAGAGCTGAAGCCAATGACCTCAGGTTTTGAAATTATTTCTGGATTTCAATGATCCTTTCTCTGTATCCTAACAATTGATCATTAAGGCTTAGCTGTAACTCACAGCCCAAGCTCCCTTTCTTCCCTTTTATTAAGATGTCTACAGAAAGGCAGCCAGGAGTGGGGGTGTAGTTTGGGGCTCCCCTTAACTTACAGCAAATTGTCAAGAGGCAGTGGGCACAGAAAATCCTCTCTTGAGGCTGTAATCTCAGCCCAAATTTAGGATGTGAACACAGTTCAGTTTTTTTTCATGCTCCCACTAGGGGTCAGGAGATGGGACTATCAGGTATAGGTAACCTCCAGCAGGCTGTTTGCTGAGATATGATCAAGTAGGACAACTTTCAAGGGTTTGGAGCCAGGCAGTGACTGCTACACAGGGACATTTTGTTTTTAAAGTGGTTCTTCCAATTGGTAATACAATCAATTGACCAATCAATCACCCAATCTCAGGCTCAAAATGGAATCTCATGCCTCTGCCACTTTGGCAAGTTAGTCCCCTTATTGAGCCTGGTCTAAAAGGAGGACAGGAGTGGATAGTAACCACCGGCAGACAGGGCTGAGGCAACAGGGAGACCATGAACAGAACCCTCCCCCAGCGTGGCTGGCAGGTGGGAGGTGCTCCATCAATAGTAGTTGTGGAACAAATAGTTTGTACATCCCTTGCTCTTGTTATTTCTTAGGTTGTATGTTACAGTTTTATGGCTTTTTCTCCTTTAAATCAGTTTTGATGTTTATAACTTTCTTTTACTTGTATAAAAATATTGGGGAGTTTTGGCCAGTTTGGCTCAGAGGTTAGAGCATCAGTCCACAGACCAAAGGGTCGTGGGTTAGATTCCCGATCAAGGACACGTACCTGGGTTGTAGGTTTGATCCCCAGCCCTTGTTGGGGTTGTGTGAGAGACATCCATTCAGTCTGTCTCTCTCACATCAAAGTTTCTCTCTCTCTCCCTCCTTTTCACACTATCTAAAAATCAATGGAAATATACATATATCTGATTCTCTCTAGGCTCCAAACACCCTCTTCTCCCACTATTGTCCTGGCCATCACTGTAATTCACCTGAAATACTCAGAGGGTGATCTTAATATTCTATGCCTCATAGTATTTCTATTTCTCCACTTGTAACCTATCTCAGAGCTCTGTCTCGTACTCTTAACCAATTTTATGTATCAATCCATCCTGATACAAATTTGTGTGTGTGTGGAAAGAACATGTATATATATTTTTAAAGTCTGAAAGGCTATATACCAAAACATTAATTTATTTATTTCAGCTGATTTTATAATATGTGAATACCTTTCTTATTTCCCAAATTTTCTATGGTGGGTATATGTCACCTATGTAATTGGGGGGAAAGCATGCTAAATATAAAAAAGAAAATAAAGAAAACAATTGTCATGAATCAACTGTTACTCCCCAGGCCCTTGGCATTGCTCATAATGTGTAAGGAGCGCTGACAAATCCTGGTTGGGGGTCAGTCGCAGCGATCTGGCCTGCTGACTCAGCCTCTGACTCAGCCATTCTCTGTGTGTCTACTGCTGTAGTGGAATGGGGACATCAGGTGGGGGTGTGGCTGTCCTATGCCTCCTCCCAGAAAACGAGCCTGTGCCCACTGAGGGGTGTCATGGGGTGAGCCCTCCCTACAGGGGAGTGGGCAGCCCACTCAGGTCCAAAACTGTCAACCTCCTCCCACCCCTGACAATGTGCATCAAACACTGATGTCTGGATAAGTTCCTTTAGAGGCATCAGAGTCACCCAGTTAAATATTGCATCCATGTCCCACCTTGTTCTAAAATGACCCAGTGTCTCACCCCGTTGTCACTGCACTAGACTGCAGATGAGCAAGCAGCCGCACGCTTCCTGTTACAGAGTTCCTTACTAATCAAAGACAGCTTTACCCAGGGCTTCACACCATCTCAAGAGTCCCTTTAAATTCACCACCTCATTGGCGAGCACCTGTTATCTGCAAAGTTCTATGTCTGGGGGTAGCCAGAGAAGGCTGACAAAATCCCATCTCCTCCCTCAGGAGGGCTTACAGTCTAACAGACAAACGTGCCCACATATAGAGAACGCTGAACGACAGGATTGGAAACCACCAGAAAGGGACTCATCAGCCACTGTGGGTGAAGAGATAAAATAGAGATCATTACTTGGAATTGGAGCGAAGTCAATGTATAGCATAAGTATTTTAATATACCTAACTGGTATATATCCAAATATAATAAATGTATTCTAAAATCCTGACAAATAGGAAGTTCTAATAACGGGGGTCCCTCTCACTTTTTAACAGATGCATTCCAAGTAAAATAATAATTGTTGGTAGACTTTTAAAACAGTAACTGTCCTATGTAATATGTTGTAGCTGTCTTTCCAGCTTAACAAATTTACAACTGAATTGGATTCCACTGTGTGCATGCACCACTATCTACTTAACTAATCATGGTGCCATGCATATTTAGGTTGCTTCCAATTTGTTATAACATTATATCCAAAGACCATCCTTGAAAATACAGTTTTATACTTGCTCAACTATCTCTTAAGGGTCCATTTCTAGAAGTGAAATTGCTGGGTCAAAGGTAGTACATATTTAAAACTTTGATACATATTGCCAAACTACTTTCAGAGAGTTTCCACCAATTTATCTCACACGAGAGAGCCTGTTTCCTTCACTCTCACCAATACTAAGACTTGTAAATCATTTTTCTCTTTGCAGATATTATTGCCAACATATGTTAAATTGTATTTTTAATTTGCATTTTCTTACTAGTGAGATTGAATGTTTTCATAGGCTATTACCAATTTTTAAAACAGCAGACAGCATGCCATTTTGATAGCATCCTAAGTCTATATCCATCTGGTCTTATCTACTTCTGTGTGTACATACATAAATATGCAAGGAAGGATGTTTTTGTTTGTTTGTTTTTTGTTACAGATGTTTCTCCTTTTCCCCCCATTGACACCCTCCTCCCCTCCCCTCCCAGTCCCCAGCTTTGTTGTCCATGTCCATTGGTTATGCGTACATGCATATAACTTCTATGGTTTATCCCCCCCACCCCCCCTTCAAGGAAGGATGTTTATCACCTGTCAACCTGTTGCCTGTGTCTGGGTGGGTGGGTTTTGGGTTTCTTTCTTTCTTCTTTCTTCTTTCTTTCTTTCTTTCTTTCTTTCTTTCTTTCTTTCTTTCTTTCTTTCTCTCTTTCTTTCTTTCTTTCTCTCTTTCTTTCTAAGTAAAATTGTAATTTTTTAAAAGTGCCATTCTTTTCTTAAATATTAAAAATAAAGCTATTTTCATTTTTTAAAAAACTTTAAGTTCCAGGATATGTTGTAGGCTTATGGCACTTTTTGTGTCAGCATTAATGTTCTTCACGACGATGAGGTACAATCCTGCCATTATTAGTGAAAATCACCAAGATGAAAAGTAGGTTTTTATTTATTCTTCAAGTCCAACCTTAAAAGCCCCCACTGCATCACAGTCTGCTGTTACCTGTTTGGGACATTTGTCAGGGTCATGCCTATGTGCTAGGCCGCTACAGAAACAGAAGGCCCAGCCCCCATCGAAGTGCTTGTAGTCACTCAGGATCTCCCCAGTGGCAGACCCCAGGGTCCTGAGGACAACAAATGGAAGGGTCGCTTACAATAATAGCTAATGTATATTGAAGGCTCATTATGTGCTGGGTCCTGTTCTATGTCCTCATTACCATCCTCAGAGAGAGGCTCCATTATTACCCCAATGTTACTGAAGAAGAAACTGAAGCACGAGAGGCTCAGTAATTTGCCCAAGGTCACACAACTTTAAGCAGATGAACCCTGCCTAAAACCATCACTAACAGTTCTACTCTCCTTTGGTTTCATCTTTTTAGCAAACACCAAATGAGGAATGTTTATTCCTGGAGAGGCTGGAGGAAAACCATTACAACACCTACACGTCCAAGAAGCACGCAGAAAAGAATTGGTTTGTCGGGCTCAAGAAGAATGGAAGCTGCAAGCGTGGTCCTCAGACTCACTATGGCCAGAAAGCAATCTTGTTTCTCCCTCTGCCAGTCTCCTCTGATTAGAGAAATCTGTTCTGGGTGCTGACCACTCCAGAGGAGCCTGAGGGGTCCTCACTGGTTGACTCCAGATTGTTCCCTTGACCATTGGCTGCACTAACCCCTGGCCCCACAGAGTCTGAATTTGTAAACAATGAGCTTCTAAAATGCCCAGTTCGTTTTCTTGCAGAGCCCTTTACCCCAGCACAGTTTGGAACAGAGGGGACCAAACAGCTTCTAGGGGCCAATTGGCTGGCCAGTCTGGGTCTGGTTTGGAGGTCCAGTTGCCTCTGGGCACCTGCTGCGGGCTGAGTCTCTCAGTGTAAAGGTGGGGCCAAAGAAGTGTGTTCAGGGGGCTGCCGAGTGGGTCACTAGTAGCTGCACATGATTCCCTCTGCTGGGTAAGCCCTGCCTGCAATTCCCCCAAACATCTGTCATGACTTCCCTTCATCCTTTCCGTACCCCACAAATATTAGCAGAGAAGCTTATGGCGAGGTTAGAGGAAGACAGCGTCCTGTGAGTAGAAACAGGGATAAAGAAATCCTTTTTCCAGAGCGAAAGGGATTGAAATGGCCCCGGGAGATTGCCTTCTGGTGGACAGCGTAGAAGGACAGGATCTCAGTGCGGAAGCAGCGAAGGGTGGAGGCTCAGGCACGTTAGCAGAATAAACGCAGAGCCTTGGAGGCCCTTACGGTGCCTTGACTTTCCGAAGGTTGTTTGGCAACAGGAAGCCTCTGGCTGATGTCAGGTGGACAGCATGAGAAGTGGGTTCTTGATAAAAGGGCATCAGATGTTGGTAAATTCATTTGGGTCCAGGAAGTGAGTGTGGGAGTGATGAGAAAGAAAGGAAAACATGGGCTGAGGGGTCGTTATCCTCTAACGAGGATGCTTCTAGAAGTGAGAAGGAAAGAGAAAGGGCATCATGAGGTGTGCTTGGCCAGAAAGCAGAGGCTGTGGGTCCCCAGGGCAGTGCTCACGAACCACACGGGGAGCTTGTTTAAATGTAGATTCCGGTTCAGTGGGCCTGGGATGCACTTTTGACATTCAAACAAGCTCCCAGGTGCTGTGGATGCTGCTGTTGTCCCCACCATACTCTAAGTGGCAGTTCTGAAAGGATGTAAGTCATGAAGGTGATTCAACCCTCCCACCCCAGGCCCCCTCCTCATCCTTAAAAACACTGTAGCATTCAAGCAGCGCGGCGGCATCGGCGGCAGTCATGCCTGTGTTAAGGAGCATGTATTGAAGGCGCTTTGGCCCATTGCCTATAAAATGCCCATTTAGAAGATAAACAAAAGCATACTTCAAAACTGTTAAACCCTCACAAACAGCTTTTCCCAAGAGACCATTTGTGTTACGATTACTTGTATAAATATGCTTCCTGCTTAAAGTAAACCTGACCCAAGTGGCTAGCAAATTAGAAACACCATTCATCTTTGACATATGATACTGTTGCCCTGTAAAGACCTTTAATAAGCCATTTAAATTTACTGTGAGACTGTATGTTTTAATCACATTTAAAAATATATATAGCTCAGAAGCAGTTAAACTGATTAGCATCCAGCCACTGAGAATGATAATAATAGGATATGATTATCTACTACTTATACTACATTTACCTATAAAATGAGATTTTCCTTTGTTTTCCACTGTGCTGTTAGAAATTTTTCCTTGGAAGTAGGGATTCTTAAGCAATGATGTGATAATTGTGGATAAAAACTGATGAGAGTGTTAGGTCATGTTTGATAAGGAATTGGGGTGATTACTAATGGAAAAACAATTCCTGGTTGAACTGTCGTATTGAGAATGGAAGAAAAATGACAATTTGTGAAAGTTCGAGGCAAAAGTGGAATTGAGGACTGAACCAAGTTAACAAAATTGTGAATAATACCATCCTGCATTTGTTTCATAACTTTTTTGTTTTTGTAACTTGGATAAGATGATTCTATTTTATATTAGTAAATCTTTGCAGGCAAGTTGGGGATAGTACAGTGTGGCTTAACATCTCTTTAGCTATGAAGATTTGGCCAGAAAAATGTACCCAGAGAGGAAATCTAAGGTATTTATAACGGTCCATAATTTTTAGTGTATGAATCAAATTTAAGTATAACATTGGCCAAGAAAATGTAAATACTCTTGCTAACAAATGAGACGTAAGTCTGTGGTTTCAGAGACCTGAAGCAATGTAGAAGAAACACTACTGTGACCTCAAACCCTCAGGGCAGTCGTCACTTGTGTATTCGTTCAGTGAATATTTATTAAGTGCCGACTGTGTGTCCGGCACTGTACTGGGCACAGGGCCCCTGAGAACCTTGTCTGTCTGGTTTGCTGCTGTATTTTCTGCCAGGGCATTAGATGTAAGATGCTGTGGATTCATTGCTTTCGGTCAAGTAAAAACAGACTTTTGTAGGTTCAGCAAGTCCCAGGAACCCAGGTTTGAAAAGAATTAGAAACCCCCAGTGTAAGCTAAACCCCTATCTAAGTGTCACAGGTCATGGCAAGGAAAACTTAACGTTGTCAACCGTGGAATCACGTCAGCTCACTTTCCAACCAGGAAAGGAGCCTGTCAGACCTGGTAGGAAGGGAGTGGTCAGCAGCTCCCCACTCAGCGTGAACACGCTCCAGCTCCTTCAACATGGAGCATCCCTGTTGCTCTCTCTCTGCCTTGAGTCAGTCGGGTAGCCACCTGCCTGTCACGTGCCTCTCATGTGGGTTCATTTTCAGGCCAACTGTCATGAGTTGTCTGATATTCTGTACAAAGCATCAGGAGTGGGGATACTTTTGATTGTTTTCAATGTGCTGGTGGAGGTGGTGGTGACTTGTTTTCTTGTAAGGGATGATAATAAAGCCTCCTATGGCCAACAGTGGGTATTTGTAAAAACTGACGGGAACATTGTGTGTCACTGAAGATCAGGTCCTTGCTTTGCGTTGGAGGCGATGGAGCCCAAGTCCTCAGCCTCGTAGACCACGATGCCTAAACCAGCCGAGCTCCTGGGCTGCAAAGCGGACCTCTGATGAAGATGACGCCTGTCATATTCCATCACTGTCTCTGTTTTCACCTTACAAATATTAATAAATGTTCCAATAGGTACTAATGTCTCTGAATTGGTCTGTATCATGGTGTCTCGTCTTCCATTGGAAGCCTTGAGGGGTGGCTGCTGTGTTTGCTACACCTGCCTTGTCACCAGATAGGAAACTTCAAGGCTGATAGGAAAAGGTAAGGTGGCAAAATTTTGTATTTTGTTTGGAAATCTAGGGCAAGATTAGTGCTTTCCTAGCGATCCACTGGGGAAATATATTCAGGAAATCTGCCCGCTGAAGAGCCAAGCACCACAACTCACTCACTTGACACTTTATCTTCATAATATAAACCATGCAAAATTATGCGGCTATTGTATAATAGTAACTTGTGCTTAGGCAAAGGTACTGTGTGACCTGAAAAAAATTCAAGGACTAATTTACAATTTCAAGTAAATGATCAGAGGTACACCTCTTGCATTTCAAGAGTCTTGATGTGGGACACATTCCCCCAGCGACTTTCTGAAATGATCATACTAAACAACATCTCCTCAAACTTCTGAATCTCATAACTTCTTTTCTGAGGAGACATCGTGGCAGAATCAGATCACACACATGCACACCCACACGTGTCACACACACCCATACTCACGCATGCATGTGCATCAATAAAAAAAAAGTTGAGTAGTATTTGCTTATTCTGCTAATTACATAGCAGAATCAATCTCTGTTTCCTTTCAAAGTTGCCTAAAGCAGTATTTTTCTATGTTTGGGAGCTTGATCCGTGCTAAGAATGACAGTTTCCATTACAACACAGCACATACATACTCTTGTACATACATACAACTGAAACAAAAAATGTCACAAAAGTATACATATGAAATGCATTCAGATTTTTCTATTACATTCCACTAAAATTTGGTGGTCAAGATTAATTAAATTGTGACACAACATTAATGGACCACAACCAAAGTTTGAAAAATGGCTCAAAGTAAACATTCTCCTTCCCAAAGACAACAAGACTCAGAAGACTTAGAACCCTATATTACGACGTGTGTGTTTTCATAGACACACGTTGGTTCTTGAAGAAAGAAGACAAGGGGATGTCCTGTCACCCAGAAACCATCTGTTCTAAGGGCTTGTGAATTCTTTTAGCTGGATTGCTACTACCCACGCAAAATGCACGCAATGTTGCTGACAAAGGCAGCCAGGGCTGCCTCCACAGCTGGCCCTGGCGTCTTTCCACGCCCAGAGCCCCGGGGACTTGCATTCTCCTTCTTTGGAATTCTCATCACGTTGGGCCATTCCTTCCCTAACTCTCACAATCTTCATACCTCTCATTTGCCCCCTAAATTCATAACCACTTCTAAACAAGACATGCAAAGTAGACTGAGCCAGGAAAGAGTTAGATACTCAGTCCCCATCACTTTCTGGAAATTACCATCTTATCTACCCCAAAAAGAGTTTTTAGCCCTGGCTGGTTTGGCTCAGTGGTTAGAGTGTCAGCCCGCCAACCAGTGACTCGGGGGTTTGATTCCGGTCAAGGGCATGTACATTGGTTGCAGTTCGTCCCCGGCCCTGGTCCTGGTCAGGGTTGTGCGGGAGGCAACCAGCTGATGTGTCCCTCTCACCCCTCTCATGTTGATGTTTCTCTCTCTCTCCCTCCCTCCCACTCTATCTGAAGATAAATAGAAAAAAATATCCTCAAGTGAGCATTAAAAAAAAAAAAAAAAGAGCCCTGGCAGGCTTTTCTCAGTGGTTAGAGCATTGGCCTGCAGACCAAAGAATCGCAGGTTCGATTCCAGTCCAGGGCATGTACCTCAGTTGCAGTTCATCCCCAGCCCTGGTCGGGGTCGTGCAGGAGGCAACCAGTGGATGTCTCTCCTCACATCGATGTTTCTCTCTCTTTTCTTCTCTTTCTACCCCCCCCCCCCCGCCCCTATCTGGAGATAAACAGAAAAATATCCTCAGGTGAGGATTAAAAAAAAAAAAGAGTTTTTACCATCCATGACTCAGTCATAAGACAAACGCTATTGCTACTGGAATGCATCTTACACAGGGTTTTAAAAAGTCCTATCTACGCTAAATCAACTTAAAAAAAAAAAAGTAACTCCATGCCTTAAATGTTTGAGGGGCTTAGGGTAGCTGAGAATTAGCTTCTTATGGATGAATTGAACCACAAAGAGAAAAATATAAATGAAGTCATCACTTTTCATATCTATCTGAGAGATGTCCTGTCTGCCATGGGGCGAGCAGGGGAGGGGAATCCTGGACCCTTAGCACTTGGGGGATGTTATGTTAATGCGTATGATAATAATGACATGTCAAACAAAGACGTGCCTTCAACTGCACTTTCACAAATTAACGCAAGTTATTTTCAGGAGCAGTAGTGCCATGCAGGAATACTTAAACC